CTGCTTCTTTTTCCCATCGATGACTGACATATCTTGTTGAGGTCTTTTTCATAGCAGTAAAACTTCTGTACATTTTGCCTATAGTACCCCTTATAATAATAAGCATCCATAAATATTTGGATCACCCCACTAGCATCTGCGTCAAGCATTCTAATTTCCTTCTGGAAGAAGCTCTGAACCTGTAGGTAACGATAAAAATCTTCCCTGCCGATCTCGTAAATCTGACACGTCCTCAAAATTTATCAGCTCCCCATGCTTCACTATCTTACAGATCGCAGTGATTCCATGCCTGGACCACTCCCTGAATTTATGGTCTAACAATGCTGGAAGGAAGCGTGGGAGATACACTGGCCATCCCAGCAACCCTATTTCCCTATTAAGACCAAAAAATTAAATTTTAAATTTAAAATTTGCATCTGATATGCCTGTGGTAAACTCTCAAGAGACCCCAGAACAGACTGTATTGGGAAAACCATCAAAGAAAGCTCAATGTCCTTCCATTTTGCCTCAAACTTAGAGTTACACCAGCACACTAGAGGTCTGATCTGGGCTGCCAGATAGTAATCCTCAAAGCACGGTAGAGCCATGCCCCCCCGCTCACCAGGCAGCTGCATTGTTGCATATTTCACTCTTGGCCTTTTATTTCCCCATATGAATCTTGAGCAATGCATATCCCACTCCCTAAATTGTTTTGCTGGAACCTCCACTGGAAGCGCTGCAAACAAATATAGCAGCTTTGGGAGGATATTTATCTTTATTAACTCTGCTTCCCAGATGGAGGTGGAGCAGACCCCACCTCTCCAGATCTTCATATATCTTCTTGTCCACCCGATTATAATTAACTTCATATAACAATGCAAGGTCTTTTGTCAGCAGGATCCCCAAATACTCCATTTGAGATTGATGCCATCCGAATCTATATCTTGCTACCAATTGTCTTGAGGGGTTAAAAAAAAGAATGTCAAGATTTGAGTTTTTTGAATGTTTAGTCTATAACCAGACAGTCTGCCATATTCTTCCAGTATTTCCATAAGCAGAGGAATTCCCTCTTCCGGGTTTCCTAGCGCTACCAGCACGTCGTCTGCATACAAGCAAATTTTATTTTCCACATTCCCCGTTGTAACCCCCGCCAATCAAGTCTCTTCTCTGATGCATTGAGCCGTTGGCTCAATGAAAAGGTTAAAGAGCAGAGGGCTCAACGGGCAGCCCTGCCTACAGCCACGTTGTAGTGTTATCCGATTTGAGAGGCTTCCATTAACTTTGATCCTCGCTGTTGGAGACATATAAATCATTC